GAAGTCATGTGACGTCTAAATTTGGTTAGATCATTCGCGGTTAGGTTTACGTAAGGGTCGTGGTGACCTGCGTCCTGCACGTTATGCTACTGATGACATAGACAATCCGTGGATCTTTGGAACTGTAGTTCATTCTCATTACAGGTCTCTCATGACGATTTCTTGACTAATCAACCTGATTTCTACCTCTCAGCAGCCCCCAGCCCCTCCGCCTTCTTTCTCGTCCCTGTCTCATCTGGCAAATTTGTGCCGATGAGGTAAGAAGAGAAAACGATGGTTGGGGGGCGGCTCGATGGATGGTCAGACCAGCGAAAGGTCGATGGACAATAAAGGAGAAGCCAGAACGACGGTCAGGAGCGGTTCAATTGCAGGGTCATACCGCCTAAAGGTGGAGAGGCAAGAATCGAGAAGTGAGAAAGAAAGACGGGACTAGTCGATGAGTGTGTCTTACTCGATAGAAATCTGGTTAAAATGACCAGCTCGAAACATAGGTATCAGATTCTTCGAACGGCCAAGTGGGATAGTCATCCGGACGGGAATAGGTAGAGGGTGCTTATACCTAACGTCCAAAGGGTAGCTGGCAAAGCTCGCTGGAAGCACGCCCGTGATGTCAAAATCGACGACTCAGAGATTACTAGACTAGTCAACGGGAAAGTTCCCTCGGTTGATATCACTGTAGTAGCACAATAATGGCTCATCGCTGAAATCCACCGTACCATAATCCATACCGGACCTGGAAAGATCTTGAAGAAGCTATGGAGTTGTAGTTAGCGACAGAACATCCATCCTTGTATATGCGGTGTGCAACTCCACCGCGGCCGCTCCACGGCGATTAGCTTGGTCAGCGCCCTCGCCCGCTCTTCGTCGGATGCAACGTGATCGATATTGATGTACTCCATCACAAGGTACGCCCATGAGCTTTTATTTAGGATCCAGGCATGGTAAAGCTCCGGGATGCGGATGATCGACTGGGAATTTGCTTTTATGTGCGAGTAAAAGAACAGCTGAGCGTGGGCTTCGGCCACTGTAGCATTGTTATACTTGATGAAGACCCCATTCGCAGTAGTGTACGTGAGACAATTATGACCCAAACTTTTCTAGCGGCACAGTTCAATGACTTGTGTTTTAGAGTACAGATCTGGGACGGATGGGTTGAATATTTCCCCATCAGTGACAATCATGTTCCTAGTGATCATAAAGCGTGTGTGGTTGAAGCGAAGCAAACCTTGTATACTGTTGTTTTTTGGCATCATTTCGATAACCATTTTGTAAAGAGTTCACGTGGATGTCAGATTGTGTTCTCAATCATCTCATGGCATAACTAACGATATCCATATGGACAGCTTTTATTCTTTCTCAGGATCTCAGTCCTCGAGTGGAGACACTTTTAAAACTCACCGACCTTATTGGATTCGCAGAAACTTGTGCATGTACAAGGGCCGAACTACTGCAGCAGGATTATAAGGCTAGGAAGAAGTTAGTAGGAGACAAATGTTACCTTCACACGCCTGGAGCAAGCTCGACAGACTAGATTTGACCCAAGAGAACATTTAGATAAGCTCCGGGACCTATCCTCATCATCGACGAGGCCCAAAGAACGTTATTCGGACATTCTCTTCGGGAATGTAACAGGATGTCATAATGTCCCAATTTCCTAAGAAGGCCTAAAGCTCAAATTCTGTCTTTTTTTTTTTTTTTTTTTTTTTTTGGCTGCTACGGGAGCCCGTTGGGTGGTGTTGACAGGGAGCTGGATATTGATATCAGCACTTTTACGTCCACCATCCCCTCATATTGGTCTATTCTTCACCCGATCAAATAATAAATAGATACTGTGTTTTCCGTAGGTAGTTAACTACTCCATAAGTAACAGGTGACTCGTAAGCCATAAGTTAAGCCGTAAGCCCATGTGTAAGCAAAGCAGATCAGGCAGGCCGGAAAAAGAAACAAAAAAAGAACAAAAAAAAAGGAAAAGGGAAGGTAACCCGACCCGAGAACACGACCTCGTGACTTTCGCAGTGGTAAAACCTGCCTAGTTCGGAATTGAATAACTCCGTGATCGCTTGGATTTCCGGCCTGGGAGATCCGAAAGTCGGAAGTCTTAGACTGTTAACATTATTATCTAACTACTCCGTAACTAAGGAGATTGATTAGTTAGTTGGTGATCACTCTTCATCAACTACTCTGCTGATTGATTCGGGTGGTTTGGATGGTGAGTCACATCTACGGAGTACTATGTAGGTGTTTCTTTCCATTTTATGGGTACTCTGGATAGAGACCGTCCACGGTTCTTCGGTATAGAACAAAGAATGGTCAACCCCGGCAATCGGCATACACGGAACACTGTAGTATGTACCTAACGCTCATTATTTAATCCATATTTTTATACAGAGTAGTATTCCATTCCTTCACTCGGCGGAGGTCGGCGGCTTCTCGACCGAGCAGCCGGCAGTACAACCGCAACGCCGGAAAAAGAAGACCCAGATGTGGAGCAGGAACAACGACGGAAGAATTGGGGTTGGGGGATTAGTAGTCAGTTAGTTGGGGACTGGGGATCACGGAATAGAAACAATGCCACCAATGGGGAAGATTGATTGGAGGGAGCATGTTAACGCGTCTTTTTTTTTTTTTTTTTTTTTTTGGATCTTCCCCGTTTGTATGGATACTCCGTAAGTCGATCCTGATCCTGCAGGCTGCCACTCACTGCCAGGCAGGCTGCATAAGCCACAAGTACTGGATACTTCTGAGTAGGTATGCGTACTATTTGCCACATGATCAATTTCTACTCTGCCGGAGTACCTTTCTACTCCGTAGGTCCACTGTCTTCCAGTTTCTAGTTTCTACATCGTTGATTCATTGATTCCGGTTCGGGGGAACATCGTTATGGGGTGGTCCACTATGAGTCGTATCGAGGTTAACTACTCCGCAATAACTACGGAGTATGGAATAATGGAGGAGTCACAGACATAACATAACTTCCCTGTACAGAGTAGTGATAACTACTCTTTCCTTCGATTTCTCTCTCTTTCTCTCTGTGCGTGTGTCCTTATGTAGAAAGAATAATAATAGGTACCCCGTAGTATCCGGAACAGTGAGTGTGGATTGGATCCACTATCCATCTTTCCCCGTCCCGAAAACCGCCCCCTTTAAACTAGGTGGGTTTAACCTAACTGACTATTATCCCGTATTACTAACTACGGAGTATGGTCACGATCACGATCCTTTTTCGGTTTTCGCCTTGTGCAGGCTGCAGACTACGGGGTCAGGTTGAGGTTGTAGGCTGTAGGTCCTGGTCCTATGATGTGCATCCATCCTGCAGTGTAGTTCGTACTTTAACTAATTAACTACTCTGCAGGCTTGAACAAGTACTCAGTATGTACGGGGTGCGGTGCTTACTGCTTACTGCCCATGAAGATGAAGGATGAAAGATGTACCGTGTATGAATAGGAGCATGATGCATGGGGCGCTTCCTTGCTTGGGGGAACTCGGAAATGGAATCCATAGGGGAACATGGCATACTGGGGTCTGGCACACGTATTCCACGACCTAGGTGGCCACTATCAGATGGAGTTGGGCTGATCAGCAGGGTCCTTTTATTCCAATCAGATCATCTCATCGTACGGGGTACATTTGTGGAGGTTGGGGTCGGGGGATATTTGCCAATAAATTGGATTTGAGAATCATTACTGGCGGTGAAGACCAAGTTGGCTTGGTTGGATAGAAATACAAGTGTTAAGTGATGTGTCCTCTGTTCTGTAGAGAAAAAATATGTATAGATAGATGAAATAATAAGGTAGGTAAATTAATACATGGTGAGAAGAGTAAATTTTTCAACAGAGAAAGAAAACACCAATCCATATCCTGTTGATGAACACCGTGGCCAACCAGAAAGAAAAAGTAAGAAAAAGGAAACCAACTGTCCAACCTGCTACCTGCTTGCTTGCTTGCTTGCTTGCTTCACCTATAACACAAAAAAGATTCGTAAACTTCGTAGATGTCGTGATTATTATAATGTGGTTTTTGGTCGGTTTTCTTGGTTTTGCTTGCTTGGAAAAAAAAAAAAAAAGGGGTGTTCTTCGCAATCTATTTTTCAGAAAACTTTTTTCTTTTGTATGTTGACGGGTTGGTTACCCGGAGATTCGGACGGACATGCATTGCCCTTGACTCGACGGCCAGAAGTGCGAAGAGTTCTGAACGGTCTTCTCAATGCAAGAACGGCCCTTTTCGAAGAAAGTACCGTCTGAACTTTTTTTTTCGTCCGACTCGGGCTCGATCTCGATCTCCGGATCGGTGTCGGTGGCCGCCGTCTCGGTCTCAGTATCGGTTTGTGTTTCCGTCTCGGAGTCCGTAGCGGAGTCTTCTGCAGCATCTTTCTCGCCTTCGCCATCGGATTCGGTGTCCGAGTTCACAGGCGTCGTGTTGGCAGAGGCATTCGTTTGTGTCTGCAAATGCGTATGCGGCAGCGGATTCGTCGACGCCGCCATCTCCGACTCGTGTGTCGGCCAGCCCGACGGCGGGATCGTCGTCGTCACTTCATCCAGCAGATCCGCAGATCCAGCCGTCGAGGAGGGCAGCGTCGAGGTCTGCTCGAACGAGACGTGGAAATGGGCCTGGGCCTCCTTATCTTCTTCATCGGCATCCACAGCAACGCTTTGGTCCGCGTCCTGGTTCTTCGAGACGGGCAGCGGCTGATCCGCCACGACCTCCTTGTCGGTCATCTCCTTGACCTCGTCGACGACGGCCTCTTCCTCCTCATCGCTCTCGTCCTCCAGCTCGAACGAGTTGATGCGCGTTGTCATCTCCTTCTGCGCCAACTCCATCGACATCACGTGCAGACGGAAGTGACCCAGACAGCGCCGGATGTCTGGGTCCGGGGCCGTGGCTTCGCGGGCGAGTTTTTGTTTCGACAGCGAGGTGAGCTTGTAGGTGAGGGAGGTTTTGTTGGCGAGAGGAGGGAGACGGGGGTTCATGGTTGCTGGCTTTGTCGTTGTGTTGGTGGGTGGAAGGGTTTGAACGGCCATTCTATGGGAATGGCTGGCACTATTCGGGGTTCACGTCCGCGAGGAAGGTGGTATAGAATTGATCGTCTTTAGATGTATAAGAGACAAGTTATGCGGTTGCTTAATTGATGGACAGAGAATCTAGTATTCCACGACGAAATATGAGGGGTAGATGGAATACGAGGTTGGTCGAGATAATATGGTATGAGGTAGAGAGGGGGTGGTAGATTGTGGCGTTGTGTTGGCGCTCCAGTAGAGGGGCAGCGGGATTATATAGGGAAGGATGATAATAGGAGGAGCAATTAAGTGATGTGTTTAAATTCCTGGAGTAGGAAAGTGTAGGTGTGATTGAAGAAAGGACAAAAAATCCGGGGTTGACTGGCTAAAGAGAAATTCTTAAGTGAAAGGGAGGAGAGAAGAGAAAGGAGGGAAAGGGAGCGAGGGAACGGGGTGAAAAAAAAAAGAGAGGGAGCGAGAAAGTCACGATGCCGAGTCCAGACCCAGACCCAGAGGGCAGCGAACGGAGGACTCAGACTCAGACTCAGACTATGGGCGGTAGTCCCAGTACTGCCAGTAGTCCCTGTCCTTCCACCGTACGCGCTGTCCTTGGCGGATCCCCCAAAACAGCAATCCGGCTGGGAGCACCATCTGATCTGGCAAAGTCTGCAAGCGGATGATCCTTGGGTTCTAGACCGGCGTGGCTGTCTCCCCACCAGTCAACCCGGTGCTGTTTTATTGTCTACGGTTGACTTGATAATTTACCCCCAGATGTGTTTAAAATTCATTTGAACAAGATCCCCTCTCCAGATCTCAACCTACATTGTCCTCCCTCCGAGCTATGGGAATGTCCTCGGCCAGGGTCTCCGACCGGTGGCAACGGCTGAGTCACGGCGAACGCAGCGAAAAACGCAGACGCGGCGGCTCCACTTTAAAAAGAGAATCGAGCAGCTGACCTCGTTGTGGTGGGTCCGGTTGGGTCGGCAGTCCATGGAATGTTCCATGCCGCGCTCTCATTGTCCTCCTGGCTGTGCGTTTGCATTATTGTGATTTTGCAAATTGTCTGATCGCTTGGGGTAGGTGTTCAAGTGACTGGTCACTCTACTATCTCCTGATGTGCTGTACAATTATGGTGATTTGACCTTTATGTTTTACTTCCTAATTTTTCCCTTTCAAATTATGATTCCTTTTTGGTCACGAAAGAATAACCAGGCCAACTTCGGTCGGGGAACCCAAAATAGTTCCGGTGGGAATAATCTAATAGATTATTGATAGACAGGAGTCTGGGTGAAAATAGAACTGAACCCTACACCGGACTAGACACGCCTTAGGTAAGGGACTTTCTTTCATGATTGGTCGTCTTTTGCGGGGATGGTCTCTTCCGGCTTAGCGTGGTCTCGACGGGGAAACGCCATGCCCTGACCGCCCTGACTAAGACAGCGACCTTAATAATCCCCTGTCGCCGGACCGGTTTTTCCTGGCAGGCGGCGGCAGGGGTTCAAGCAGGCTGATGGACGATGGTTCAACAATGTACTTTTAGTATGGCTTCGGCCTTGAGCCTTGAGCCGGATGTTTTTCTGCCATGTCTCGCCATGGATTTCCGTCCATTTTCGACATCCTCAACGAGCACGAAAAAGAATGTCAATCCTGATCTCATCTGATATCATCTCGGAACGTCTCGTCATAATAGTGATGTAAGGATTGCATGTCAGCCATGGCGGAGGCGAGGGCTCTTCAGTTCATGATCTCATCATTCGTTCCACCCGCCTCTCTCGCCTTAACCACCACGACTTCATTGGCAGTGATTGCCACCAGCGCGATGATCCCACGGTTGCAATGCTCCAACAATGCAATTGCTAACTACCTTAATTGATGGATGCACATTCTCCCCCACATGCTCGGCGGATCCCGTCACTGAGGATCGAAGGAGTTCAATTGCGAGATGAGCATTTTGCATACTCCGTATTGACTCCCGACCTGCGTTAGTCTCTGCCAACCTTTCCAGGGAAGGTATGACGATAACGTGATGAAAGATAAGGCTGAACGATTGACAATGCATCCGCCATCGATCGGGGTCCTCAGGCAATGATTTAATCGCGTCACTCGATCGCATTGGAGGCATGGGGGTAATTGCCCTCGCTATCATCATTGTTGACCGTTGTCATCGTCATTTCCGCCTTCTTTAACCGCCGGGTCGATATTCAGTAGATTGCGCGGCTTGCTAGATGACTCGTTAGCTTTTAGCCATGGGACAGAGCTCGCAGCTGGACAAACCTTGAGACCTCCTCAGAAAATAAACTTCTTACTCTGCCATGTCACCGTATCAAGCCAACATGCCGGAGCCAGTGGTCGGAATCTCTATTAATCTGCAAACATGTGCTTATCAGATTATACAGTTGCGCTATCGCGGGTTGCAGATCACCGCTTGCTGCCGACTGCCGGCTGCCTCAGGCACCGTGCCCGTGATCTAACCGGACAAGCCTCAGGCCTTCATGCCACTCTTGCATGGTGGGGCACCATTGAAACGGCTTCACATTCACTTGATACCCAACGCACGGGTATCTAGGTATGCACATGGAGGGGTAAAGGGACAGAAGATGGTCTGGATTCGCACCCTCCCCGGTCGAAGAGACGGCGAACCGAGCACACGGCCTCTCTTGAGATCTGTGCAGAGACCCCCTTGTCCCCGTCCAACGCTGCAAGCTGATAATGCCACGGCGCGGAGATCCGACCTCGGCCAATCCTGTTCACTGTGCGAGCCCTGGGGAAAACTCAGGCCGATGTGGACGCTGATAAACCTCGCGGGCGCCAGCCATGGCGGGGCAAAGGCCGTTTCGACCGCGCAGGTCTCGATCCTCCCGGCTTTTGCTCTCTCCACACATCTTGGTCGTACACGAGTTGAACAAGCCAGACCGAGAGGTGTTGCGGTTGTCTCGGGTAATTGCATGGCGCGGGAAGGAGATATTTCGAGTCACTGGCAAACGCTAACAATCGCTGTGTCCAACCGGATGCCCAGCCAGCACCAGAGAAAAGAGTCACCGGATGAGGGAAAAGACTAAAACACAACCCGTCCGTATTGGGCTATCTGCTTGATGCAGGGTCGTGCAGAACCAAATTCCACGCTACCTCTATTGGGCGAAACAATGATGCGATATCTACATGAGTGGTGATAAGAGGAGAGGAGCCGATGGACGCTACTATCGTCGCGGTGATGGAGGGGGAGGGGAAAAAGCTATGGGAAATGAACAGTCGTCTATTCTTAGATCTCGCCTGAGAAGCCCGCCTTTCCAAGTCAGGCATGTCCCCTATCAGCCCATCTTAAGGGCAAACGGAGGATGTGGTATTCTTAGGTTGGACAAATGATTGCTCTTGGAGACTTCAAGTAGCCAATAATCAGCATCACCTCATGAGTCACGGCAGACCAGGCCCCCCCGCCGGGGCTAGACTAGGACTGTTTTCCATTGTTCTGCTGATGACTTGCATGCTCTGTTGCCTTTAGTCGCTTGGCATCATGGCTGCCTTCCAATGACCCAGCCTGGTCAAGCCTCTGGCTGCTGTCCGTCCCATTATCCCCCGACCGGCATGGGGTACGGTTACGCCGCGCCTGGAGGGACAGGAAAGCTTGAACCACGGGCTAGATGGTAGTGGTGGTGGTGAAGGAGGGGGCAGATATGAGAGACAAGAAAGTATCACAAAGGGCACGGTCAAGAAACTGATTCCGGATGGAGTGTTTGTGGAGAGTTGGGAGGTGACACTGCAGCTGTCCTGCCACGGATTGCAAAGGCCTTGAGTTCAGACGAACGGGGCGTCGACGTACAAGAGGCGTGTGTCAATGACAGCGTCGTGTGACGGAGTTGATGAGAAGGATGAGTTCCATACAAAGAGAATAAGAAACCGACGGAGATACGGGGAAGTATACTTGCTCTGTCAATCTACCTGCTGGAGCTACCAAGCCAAGTACCGCCGACGGGGCCATCCTTGGATCAGATTGGATCAGAGCGCACGGTCCTTGGGAGATCGCCGCTAGTTCCCGCTCAAGTGACCCTTTCGCCAAAGTCAATGGTCGGTCATCTGCCCCCCGCGAAGAATGCACGCCGATTCTCCCATTGTTGGTCTCGTTTTTACCGTCGTTCTGATTGGCTTCGAATTCTGGTATTCATTCCTGTTAGCCTTACACGCGGTTGGTATTCTGATGGATTTCTCGCTTTTATCCGATCTAAACGCTGACGTCTCTAGAAGCAAAGGATTCCAATCCTGAAAAGAATGGCATCACGACGGCTTCAAGATGTAACCGTCGTGGCGGGGAATAGTTGATAGCTTTCGGCAGGATTCCGATTGTCTCCCATGTTTCTGCACGTTAAGCTCTCTTGAAACTTATGCCCCCTCCATCTTCCGCCCGGTGCCTGTTCGGTTGAGAGATCCCGCTGGATGGATGGAAAAGAAAGCGTGCCCTAGCGACATCACGAAGCTTTTTACTCCGTTGCACAAGTTTAAATAAACTTATCTCTCTCAACTGGGGTCACCCCCTTGATGCATTCAGCTTCGTCGGTTTGATCCCCTGCAACCGTTTCCATCGATTGGAGTTGACGGGATATGCTAGATCGTCATGTCCCGTCCCTTGCGAGGGTCTATCAGGTCGACGGGCTGTTCCTTACGGAGTACTACTACTGCTAGCTTACTAGTCCCCTGTCGCATAAACCAGACTTCGTATTCAGGCTGGGATATCGATAGACACCGGATGAATCTTCCCAGCCGGTATCCATAGGCTGTCATTGCCATCATTCATCCTCCAATGAAAATCTTCGCGAACCATGACAATACGATACCCACCGGTCGTCCGTCAATCAGAAGCGAGGAGAAGCGCCAGTCTTGTGATTGGTCTTGAAGGGGAAAGGCGCGATGGTGATGATGGAATGGAAACGACGAAGAATCAGGCAGGTGGTTGAGGGCGAGAATCCCCCGAAAAACCAGGAAATGTGAACATCGATGGGGATCGATAGGATAGGGTGTCATTGGACAGGATCCTCTTCTATACTCGTTCTTGGGTACTTGGGTAATAGTGAGTAGGTCGTAGTATGACCGAGGGAGACGTTCAGAAACCTCGTTCATGGGGATGAACTCATAGACAGTCTCGTTGAATTATAATAATAATAACTATGATCCTGCCCCCTTCACTCATTGCTTTTTCTTTTCTTTCTTCTGTTTCTCCTCCCCATTCTTTGGCCCTGTCCTGCACATTGTCGCGGTCCAATCATCTATTTCATCTCACTCTCTCTTTCTCTCTGTCTTTCCCTTCCCCTCTCCAACCTTCTCTCTATCTCGAGAAAGAAACAGCCACCAAGGAAGAAATTTTGACTCGGAGCGTTTGAGGATCTCCCGGACCCGTTCTCCATTGATTAGGTTCTACTTCTAGCAGCGAGGTAGACTGCCTATATTAAGATGGCCCTTCCTCCCCCCTCTCCATCCTCTTCCGCGCTAGACCAATAACTTGACGGCCATGCAGTCGGCCACCAACTGGCCCCAAACCCATCTCACTAATCATCGAGCAGCTTTCTACCGACTGAATCGGAGCATCAGCCCTTGGCAAATCCCGTCCAACCTCGGGAACGCATGCCGCAAGCCCCTCTCCAGGGACTACTGCGCGGTGCTAACCGGATAGCGCATCTCGTCCTCGTCAGCAGAAGAAGCCAACCGCTCGATCATTGGCCGGCTGCGGATTCGTCAGTGCAATTTGCCTTGTTTGGCTTCAACGCTATTCATGTACCGTCGCAGCGTACAAGCCACATCCGCTTCTCCAGCAGCAGTCTCCCCACTCGTCCTTCCTGGGCAGTGAGAACTGAGAAGTACACAAAGGTGAGAAAGAGAAGAGGGTCTATAGTTTGGGATTCGAACAGCGGAAAAAGAAAAGAAAGGTATACACCACCCCCGATCTTCTATCTTGCTCTACAGTATCTCGATCCCTCCCGGGAGTCGTCGCACATATCTGTCTGCCAGGAGGGGGTCTGTCTGCCAGGAGGGGGGTAGAGACAGCGGCTCTGTCCTTTCCTATCCAAGGATTGCCCCGCGGTGGTTCGGATCTCAGGCTATTTGATCGTTGCTTTTTCCCCTGGTCTTGTCTTAGTTAATTTAATTTTTTTTTTTTGGTATTGTTTTCATTTTTTTTTTTTTTCATTTATTTCTTAGCTTTGCTTTTTCTTTCTCCCCCTCTGGTTGGTCCTCTAATAATTTCTCCGTGAATAGTCGATCAGGTTAATGCTCGAGCCATTGCTACCCTAAGGCTGATCCACGCAATCACATCGGTCTATGAGTTGACGAGGATTAATATTGCCGGTAGTCTTACTGCGAGGCGCCTTCAGTCTTCCACCACTTTCCCCTCCGGTCGTCGATCGATCCCATCGAGGCCTCCGATTTGTTTTCTTCGCAGGGAAACGTGACGAGAGCGAGGTCGGAGAAACAGGCAAGGAGCCACGGCGAGTGAACCCAAAGGGAACGAGCCATTCACGTTCTGACTCTCGGACTAGGTTAGTCCTCCGTACATACGCCCGCGCTACCCGAACCCCGTCCACATGCTGGGCTGAATTTGAATTCGATTCGATTGGATTGCGAACGGGTGTTTTGGGAGTTGGAGAGGCATGTAGTCCTGGATTAGGTAATTCAGGCCCCAGGTGAGTTAGGCCCGGAGCGCACGCGTCCTACGCGTTGCTTTTCTTTTGGTTTCCTGATTTCTTGGTGTTTTTGGTCTTGAGTTTTGGACTCCCTTGAACGTCCTCCCCACAGGATTTATCTTTGAGATAGAATCCGCTGTGCAGCATTTGAATCCATCTCGCGGAGGGGGGGCATCTAGAGTGTGCACTGTGCAGTGTCCATGGAGTGTTTTGGGGGGGGGTGAACCTAAAATCCCCCATGCGGGTGTATCGTGACCGGCAGCCAATCACACTGATCGTGGCGCCGCCCTCCCGCCCGGCGAAAGTGACCCGTCCAGTGACCCCCTCCCCTCCTTTCCTGCTCGTTCCCTTCTTGATTGATGATTCCCTCCCACCCCCTCCCCCCCTCGTCCTTTCTGCTCTCTCTTTCTCACCTCCTCCTCCCCTTCCCCCTTCCCCCTTCCCTTCCCTTTCCCTTCCCAGTCCTAACTCCAACCTAACCTTCGTCCCCACTTCCACACCTTGTCCTTCCCCCTTCCCCCCCCCTCCTTTATTCTAATCCAATAATCCATCGATCCTGTCTTACACACACACACTCATACATTCGTCTTGTACACACAGACACACACACACTCTCAAGACGGTCGCACAACCCCAGTCGTCCGTCCCCACTGATCGGTTCCATCAGCGGCACGCCGTGAATCATCTTCAGCGTTATCTTGCAACCCCCCCTCTTCTCTTCCTTCTGCTTCGCCCGCTCTGCCTATCGCTGTCGCTGCGCTCCCTGTGCCGCGCTGCTTTCTGCAGCACCAGGGAAGAACCTTGGGTATTCCCTTAGGCGCCCACACCCACCCCCTCCGCAGTTGCAAGTTTGCAACTGCCTACCAGGTACAGCCTCCCTGTGTGGCTGAACACCGCCACACGCTGACTCGGGGTTTTTTGTTCCTTTCGATTTTGTGTTTATCATTTATTTGTTTTTCGATTTTATTTTTCTGCCTCTTGGGAACCTTCCCGCGACTCCGCACCACTCCAACCAACACCCAAAAAACACGCATCCAAACATCCACCCTCACCGCCTGCCCGTTGTTGCCCTTGTCAAAGCTCCCGACCGAAGCGATTTGCTCGACTTCCCGCTGATCCGCTTCCTGCCACCACTCAGTCCAAACCACGACCAGCGCTCTCCTCGTCTTCGCCTGCCCCGACTGCATGCGTGTCGTGGTCTCCGTTGTCTTGTTCCGAGGATCACTTGCATCGTCGCCCGTTCCTGTCGCTCGCCTTTCGTTTCGCTGCAGGACCCGACCCAGCTTGTCATCCCTTCCCGTTTTGGCGTCTGGACACCTCTCGCGTTTTTCCTGGACGCGCCCGCGGCCTTTTTGCGACGGCTTCCTTAACCTCCTGCCGTCCTGCCTTGGCCCGCCATGTACGGCACTTCCCACTCCTCCGTTTCCGCCCCGATGAATGGAATCGGGGGAGATCTCGTTGATGGCTCGGGGACTATCAATCCGGCTGCGTTGAACAACAGCGGTATGTAGTCTTGTTTTTCTTTCCCGCTCTTTCTTTGTATATCGCCCGCCCTTCGACGGGTTTAACCTTTTCTTTCCCCCCCCACCCTCCTTCCCTTCTGCCACCCCTTGATTTGACCACCCACATGCTTTGTGGTTTGGTGTGCGAGCCTTTTTCCCTTTAGCTCACACCGGGGTTGAACATTCTCTTCAATCCCCTCACCCCCCTTCGGCATTTGTGCTTTTGATTTGATAGTGCGACGACGGCGATCGCACCGTTGTCGCCATCCATGGAGGTTCTTACAGTTCTTAATATTTCCATCTGTCTGTCCATCGCGACAACCTCCAAACTGACAGCCTTCTGCTAGTCGCAGTTGTTCTCCCCGCACCGTCCTACGCTGCGGCAGCAACAACAACCCTCACCCCCCTACCTCGTGGCGTGAAACGGAGTCGAACTCCGGACCTGCGCGGGAACGCGCGCGCTGATGGGGACCACGATGACGGTATGTGTGCGTCGCGAGTACTCTTGCGGTCCGTCTTTTTCCAATGGCCGTGAGGTACTCGACAGAGCCGCGTCGTCTCATTTAACTTGATTTTCTTTTGGTCTTTCTGAATGCCTTTGGACGCGTACACACGAACACATTCGCCGTTTTTCTTCAAGGTCTAATAAGCTAATGTGTGGTTCGCTCGTCCTTGATGGGTATAGCAGATGACCATGGTCGTCGCAAACGGGGCCGTCCCCCCAAGACGCCGCGACCCTCCACCGCGAACACGAATGATCAGTCACAGTCGGCTGGTCTTCATGTGCAGACTCCTCGGATGCAAACCCAGCCGCTCCCGCCCCACGCCGGCGTGAATGTTTCGCCCCCGCAGGCATCGCCTTCGGACAAGACGACGCCAACGAAAACTACCCTCGTCAAGGCGCTCCCAACAGTGCGAGACCACACCACAGACCAACTCAACGACGAGGGAGATGAGTACATCCCCAAAGAATTCGACGAGGCTGGTGAGAAGAAGGTGGATGCCATGGGGTATCCCCAGGGTGGTCGGGAATACAAGTGCCGCACGTTCCGGGTCCCTCTCCGCGGCACCAAACTCTTTATGCTAGCGACCGAATGCGCGCGTGTTCTAGGGTATCGCGACTCTTATCTCCTGTTCAACAAGAACCGCTCTCTGCACAAAATTATTGCCACTCAAATTGAGAAGGACGACTTGATCCAGCAGGATATCTTGCCCTACTCTTACCGATCACGTCAGATCGCCATCGTCACCGCGAAATCCATGTTCCGGCAGTTCGGCAGCAGGGTGATCGTCAACGGTCGACGGGTGCGTGATGATTATTGGGAAAGCAAGGCGCGCAAACAAGGGTTTACCGAGGAGGACCTGGCCGGCGAGAAGCGACCTGGTGGCTCCAAGGCCCGCGATGCGGCTGCCGCCGAAGCGGCCAGCGCGGCCAACCTGCTGCCGGCCCTGGCCCATGGCGATGTCATCTATAGCAATGCGCTCGAGGCGATGCCGAACAGCTTACCTCTGGGTCCCCCGTCTTCGGTGTCCCACGCACCGCTTCCGATGATCCACATGGCCACCACGACGGATGATCCGCGGTTGAGGGAATATAACAGCATGCCCCGAACCCGCCAGGAGTTGACCGGTCAACCGTACCAGGACCGGTCCCAGCCCAGCTCGGCTGCTGATATCTTGAATCAAGCTTCGCACACGGCCGATTTCAACAAGATTCTAAGCTCGCAACGCAGCTATCGCCAGAAGGGTCTGGAGGATTTCTACGCCAAGCAACGCGAGATCCCGCAGTCGGCGGCTCAGTCTCAGCCAGGACAACTGGACACCGCCGCAGCGATTTCCCAACCCTTGCAGTCGCCTCAAATGCCGTCGGCCGGGGTGATGAACTCGACTCAATCGCAGCAGCCCATGCTTCCTCATCAGGCGGCTCCCATGATGCCCGGTCAGTCGGGCTTCCAGCCGCCGGCCGGTCATCACCATCAGCAGCAGCAGCCACCACCACCACAGCCGCCCGTTGGACAGTCGCCCGTTCGAGCCATGCCTCTCGTTCGTCCTGACCTCATGCACCAGCGGTCCAACCCGGCTTTGTCTGGTGGGGGAACGCCGCAGCCTCAAGGGCCTTACGGGTTCCCATCCCAGCCGCAACAGATGTGGGGCCAACCGCCACCGCAGCCGCAGCCTTCCCCCATGTCGGCCAGCGGGCCCCAGGGCGTCGCGATGCCGCAGTATGCCCAGCAGCTACATGCGCAGCAACAACATTCGCCTTCGCCTCTCGCCCATTCTCTGCCGCAACAGCCACATCCCTCCCAGTCCCCCCGTAATCAGCCTCGTCCGTCCGTTCCCCAGATGCCGCAGTCTTTCCCCTTACATCACCCACAAGCACCTCAGCAGCAGCCCATGGCTTCGATGGGGTTCCCTGGTAACACGGCAGCCCCTTATCCCTCCATGACGGCTGCTCGAGGCATGTACCCGTCGACTCAAGGTCCCGGGGGGCAACCCTTCATGGCCGGCACTCCCCCGCAGCCTGGAATGGCAATGGGGATGGGTGCCGGTGGAGCCATCCAGGGCTGGTCTCCGCAACCCGGGACACCGATGCAACCGGGTCATCCACAGCCTGGTCAGTCCGGAGCTCCTCTTGGATGGTCAAACTATTGAGTGGGAAGAAAAGTGGACAAAAGAAAAGAAAAAAATACTCGCACACATTTTTCTTTCTTTCTTTCTTTCTTTCTTTTTCATGCAATTTCATGGGCCGGCGTTGTCCAGAACTTGGCGTTCATGGGTACATGAGGGGTCGGGACTACAAATGGTGTGAATCTTTGTTAGTAGGTCCTGGTAATTCGTTCACCCTTTTTTTTTTTTTTGTCTCTTGATCTCTTCGCCTGTTGAATGTGCAGACTCCCCCTTTTATCTTTGCATTCCGACTATTTCTCATTGTGCCGTTTTTCATTTTTGCTATCACTTATCCTTGGAAACTCAAGGATAAGAGCTAATGATAATTTGCGCATCTCGTTTCTATACCCTCTGCTATACCCGATGCTACTGTGTCTGTTGTTTTTCCATTTATTTTTACCTCATGTCTTTGGTATTTATGCAAGTATGCTGAGGCTGTTGATTTTCCGAGCTTTTCGTTGAGGCGGCCGGAGATGGATTTCACGTAATGAGTATGAAAGCTGTGCATGTTTCATCTGTTCTATGATAGAGGGCCGGGTTCCAGAGTGTGATGATGACTTGATCTTTTTTGCGACTTTCTGGGCCAAGCGTTCGACCGCAATCAATTTGTTCCTCGTGCTTTCTGTTCTTTTCTTCTGCCATGTCTGTCTTAGCATCTAGGTTTTCCAAACTGCACTTACTCTACTCTGTCTGATCGCACTCTACTTCGTTGTTCTGGACATTTTGGTATCAGTTTCTTGGTGAAATGTCTGTATATGTTCATCTCGTAATCAAACTGTTTGATATTTATATCAGTTGGTTTGCCGGTGGTTTAGCACATGCGTAGGATTTAATCGTCTGGCCATACAGATAAGAAATACAAACCACTCGCCCAACAGCTCAATGTTAACCTACTTGTTGGTCGACGATTCTGAACTCTAGGCCTCCATATGGGTGGGTGGATTCGATGCCTAAGGTGAAGAGTAGTCCAGCAAGTCATTTCCTTCAGGACCTTCCAAGTTTGCAACATTATGGAGACATGTTTATCTATCTCAATTATTTGAACTCGTTCATTGAGTATGCACGTATTAGTTAGTTTGACCTAGACTCCGGCGTCTTGGACCCTCTCTCCACTGCATCACAAGGTCATGACTGATGACTTTCGATTGACTTAGATCGAGCGTGTCTGAAATCTTATGAGGATTCGTGATAAACGGGTACTAGTTGCAGTAGAGAGTAAGTAGATAGGCCAGTAAGAATAGACCTATTTGCAGGGACTTCTTGTTTTTTATAGTACAAATCTAAAGGGTACAAAGGCATACTGTATGCACATGTATGTACAGTACTTATCACGATCTTCTTATCTCTTTCTTCCTTGCCTAAGTGACTGATTCTGCTTTTGTATTTACTTTCCTTCTTCGTACAACATGTTGGTGTTTTCCCCTTTCTTCAGAGGAAGAAAGGAGAAGGAGAAGAAGAAAAAAAACCCACCCGACAGTGCTGGGATTCGATCTCGCGTGGGAGGGCAACCTCCCGCCGGTGTCAGACCCCTGCACCATCGGGTGGGCCCATTCAACGTAATTGGGGTCTAGGCCGCTCATTTGTTTAATTTGATGGTTTCCCTCTGCTCGTCACTTGTTAGTGCCTAGAGGTGCGGTGGTCTCTAAAGCAAAGAAATAAGAAAAAATGATAGAGATAGATAGATAGATAAGAAAGATAAGAACAATAAAAACACCTCTCTCCTCAGGCGGGGAGCAAAAAAAGAAGAAAGGCGCGCGCTCCCTACCCGGTCGGGTCAGGGGTTCGAACTCGCGGCGTAGGGGCACAGTATGGGGGGAGGTGAGGAGGACGAGGACTCTCCCCCCATAGCGAGACCCCTGCCCAGTGGGCGCCCCATAGGGTAGGGAGCATTAACGTCGGAGGGGTATAGATTGCTTATCTGTTTCATTCGGTGGTCTTTCTTCATATTAACACGGAGAAAAGCAGTAGAGCTGAGAAAGAAAAGAAAGATAGATGAAAAAGAATCCTACATACTGTCGTTTCTTCCTCAAAGAAAAAGGAAGAAGAAGGTGGGAAAAAAAGAAAAGGCGCCCCTCCCCTAACTACCCGGTGCAGGGTTCGGTCGTGGCGTTTGGGCTTAAGCCGGGGGAGGGGCCGTGTATGACTCTAAATGTATGGCCCTGCACCATACTTCGGGGAGTGCTAACGTACTGGGGTCTAGCTGGGTCTTCTGCTTCATTTTATAGGCTGACACTGACCTATGTCTTTTTGCTTATTACTACGATATAGAATAGAAGAAATAAGTGAATACAAATAAAAAAGAACCCTCTCTATTACCATCTCTTCTTGTTGAAAGAAAGGGAGAAGGGAAGAAAAAAGTCGCCCTCCCCTACTCGGTGGCAGCAGGGTTCGATCTCGGAGGGGGACTGTATAGTCTAGTCTATAGTCTATTCTATAGTCTGCTCTAAGCCCCCCTCGCCGGCAGTACCGCTGCGCCATCCTTCGGGGAGTATTAACGTCAGAGGGGAACGGCTCAGCTTTCTGCTTCATTTTGATGGAAGGATGGAAGGCACGCAATTATTCGTCAGGCTATACCATTCTCACGTTGTCCAGTAGGCAAATCTAGGCAACCATCTAGGTACCTATCAGCATGTATACATGACTCATAGAATGCAATGCGATGCGCCGAATCTCGGTTGGTATGACCGCATCGGACCATGTAAATCGTGTTTCATACCTGTATGTAGAAAACCGAACATATGTTTAAGACATGTAGTACTGGATTAGAATAATCATAGAAGATAATCAAGTAAATGCTATTCCATACTACCTTGCTGGTAGGTAATAGCAAGAACTATGCTACGGATCATTCCTTCCATGTACACATTTCCTAGAGTGCAACATTCCCTACCCTACAGAGATAGAAAGCTATCAAATGAAAACAGATGAGCGGCCTAGACCCCAATTACGTTGAATGGCCTGCCCGATGGTGCAGGGGTCTGACACCGGCGGGAGGTTGCCCTGCCCCGCAAGTTCGAACCCCTGCACCGCAGTGGGGGAGGGCGCCTTTGTTGCAGTCTTCTGGCGGCAAGTGAAATTGACTGGGTATTAGGACATACCAGAGATATGGTAAGCTAAGATAATCAGCTCTAGTTCTTTCTTATGCGTATTGGATTGAGTGGACGAGAGTGGTAGGTTGATTCTATCCTAGTGCTCTACTCAACCTCTTTGTTCTTGTCTTATTCTTAAACGCAAACTTGATGTATTTAGGGATAGCTTCATATTCATGAAAAATATGTTAGGCCTTGAACACAGCTCTAGTAGGTATTCAACCTCAATATGCATATTCATGGGTAATATATCCCCGAACGGCATTCAAGTATCTTTAACCATCAAACCAAAAAGATTATACATATACTTCAGTCCTATCCTTTACGTTCAACACATCCATACACATCAACTAACCTACCCGTATAACATCCAATCCCTCTCCTCCCTCTCCTTCTCCTTCACCCTCCACTTCGCCTCAATCTGCGCCAAAAACGACGCCCAGAACCGCGGCTTCACCTTCCACTCCAACCACTCCATATCCTCGGGTCGCTCTGCATGTACTCGAGCTCCTCGTCGGGATCTTCTGCGCCTTGCGGAGTCTTCGTCGCACGATCTGTCGAGTCGGGGTGGGCTGCTGCTGCTTGCGCAGGACTTCCTCCCACGGGTCGGTGGCGCGTGGTCGTGGCGTGAATGGGACTGCTTTTAGCTCGGCTTGGATTTCGGGGGATTGGATGAGGTGGGAGTTTGGGGTACTAGATATTGGGGATTGATTAGTTGAGGTCTTGAGGATGTTCATGTATGCGGAGCAGGTAGCCACTAGGAGATAGATCACCCAGGTACAGTAGGGATGGTAGGTACAACAGGTAACATAGGTATAAGATAAGAAACCGATATATCATACAAACTCTCCCCATTCCACTCATAACAAAGAACCGGTACTTTATCGTCTTCGTCCCTGTCCGAGGTACCTGTACTAATACAACCGTAGTCGATCAGGAAAAAACACCGCCGATTGTTGTAGCCGAAGTCGTCGCCGTAGGTAGTCGATCTATGCACTGTGGAGTCGAAGGCGCTGTTCCAATGATATTGACATATGCGGTCGAGCATGGATGCGAGCTTGTTGCCATAGGTGTCATCGCTGAGCTCGGGCTTGTCTGAGGGGACGAGGTGGGTTAGGGTCTGGAGGAGGAGATTGTTCTGGCATGATAGGGGTGATGGTGATGGTGTGAGAGCAGTGTAGAGGGAAGGATGTAGATGGGAAGTTCAACTACTATAACTATAATTGTGACTATAGATAGACGCCCGGGCTTGGACTTCCTCGCATCGCCGCCTCTCCTAGTGGCTAAAGCCGCTTCCCGGCGCTAAAGGGTGGATAGTTGGCTAATTGATTGGGTGATCGATCTATATTCTATATATAGTAGGGGAGCCTATCGTGGTGATCAAAAGAAATGAACCTGACTTTCAGATTGTAGATAGTATGGGGGAGAAAAGATCATCCTTCTGTGTTTTCTTCGGGGACTACAGAATTATGCGATAGAGACATATTGCATTCCGTTATATCAAGTAGACGGCCAGAAACGATACCCAAAGCTCCGATTAACATGAAAATATCCCTGTCAGTAGACAACCCTCCCAGAAGTCCATTCAAATCCTCCCTCCAACCCAGCTGGAAAAAAAAAAAAAAACCCCTCCCAACCAGTCCTTCCACTTTATTTCCTTCTTGACCCAAGCGAATTCCACTTCCCAATCTTCCATAAAACCGTAGCCTCTCGTTTCTTCCTCGGCAGCCTCTTCGCCTGCGCCAGAAACTTCGGCCAGAACCGCGGCATCATATTATCTGCCAACCACTGCATATCGTGGGGATGCTCCAGCATGAACATCAGCTCATCCTCGGGAATCTTCTTTGCTTTGCGGAGTCCATCTTTTACCCGACTTCGGATGGACAACTCCTTCCGTTGCACGCACACGTCTCTCCGTGTAAAAGGGTACATTTTTAGTGTTGTCTGGGCTTTTTTCCATTGAAGGAATGAGGGCGTAAATTTGCTAGGAATCATTTGAACTAGTTAACGAAATCCCGGGGGTTTGATTACCCAGGGGGGGGGGGGGGGAAAGAAGAAAGAAGTAAAGAAAGATGGGACAGTGGGAACAAGGAAAAGAAAACATACAATTTCTCTCCAGTCCACTCCCAGCACAAGATAGGCACTTCCTCATCATTCGACGTAGTGCCGTGATCGACCCCGAAGAAGCAGCGCCGGTCATCATACCCGTAGTCACAGTTGTGGTTATAAAATCGGATTTCGGTGAGGTTAAGCGACTGGTACGCCAGGTTCCAGTGGTGTCGCGAGATGCGGTCCAGCATAGATGTGTTCTTATCGCCCCATACATTGTCGGCCAGGCCCAGGTCTTTGGGGACGAGTCCCGTTGTGGTGTGAACTAGAATGCGGACTGGAGTGCCAAAGGGGAGGGGGAGTTCTGGAAGTGCTTGCTCGGTCATGGTGATGGATTTGGATATCAAATTTGGATGAGAGTGTTGGTGGTATGGATTTGTGAGATGAAGATAATGTTTGGAGGTAAGTGTTGTGGTTGACTTGGAAGTGTCGAGTAAAGAGAAAGATGGGAGTAGACTATGGCAAAGTCTTGCCATTGACTCATTCTAGTTGACTCATTGTGTTTAACTCAATTATGACTATCGAGAGACGTAATGTGCCGTGAACCGTTGATGGTTTACGGAGTAATTGTGGTGTCCTATCTTGAGATCTCAATATTATACGTATTTTATCTTGGTTGATTTGGTTATAATATATATTTTTATATAACTAGCTTAGCTATTGATTTATTGTCAGTATTTTCGGCTTATAAAAAGAAAAGATATTATCATATATGTCACTGAAGGAATGTCTTAGTTGTCCAATGAGGTCAGCGGCAAACCAAAAATAAACTAAATTCATTCGAACGTCTTCATTTACTAGTCTAATCTTTAGGTAGAAATCGAGTCTGCATTCTCCTGGCCACAAGACAATCCTAGCGAGATACTTGCCATTGCGGCTGAAAACTACATACATAGAGATGATAAGGATATCGTGGGCCAATTCCATATCAAGCATTCGCTAGACCTCAGGATTGAATGTAGCAGCTGTTTGGGTGACACAACCAGGTTATCAACATTCCAGTCATCAGGAAAGTTGAGATGCTTTTTACTCGTTCCCTTGTTCTCGTCTTTTTTTTTTTTTCTTTGGTGACATCGCTATCAGACGCATTGTCCTCAGTCTCGATATTCTGATCTGCAGCTCTTTTAGAGTTGAGGAAAGTCATCAGGACCTCCTGGTCTGCCCATCTATTCATCTCTGCACGCTTAATGAGGACATCAGTGAATTATGGTGTGAATTGGATTGTGGGATGATGTCTGATGAAGTTCAGAAAGATGTGTGTATCAGCAAGACCAAATACTACCTCCATGAGAGTTTCAATAGCAGGAACTGATATTTCTTGGCCAGCACAGAAATTGACCAGCTCATTAAGTTCCGAGTTAGTAAAGCCCCCTTTTTCAGATGCAAGACAAAGGAACTTCACCAGGGTCTGCGAAACGAGGAACTCTCCATAGTGTAGAAGAACTTTTGAGATGGTCAATTTGCACTTCAAACTACACTCATGACTTCGCCAAAGCGCATCCCAAGCCTTTGCTGTAATGGGTATTGCCGAGTCCAAGAAATCGATGATTATCCTGTGGAGATCTTGTGAATTTCCACGTTCAATTGAGGCTTTCCAATGCTAGCGAGTATTTCGTCCTCCTTGGCACTTTGGTCTTTGAAGCATTAGCAATGAGAAGGAAGATCCTTAACTGCATAACCTACATAGCTGGATGTTGATTTGATTCCAATTGCCGGCTTTTTGGTCCTGATCCTTCACTGCAGACTGGAGACGTGTCAAATCTGTTTCGGAGACTGCAACGATACTGTTCCATTTTTGACCTACTTCTTATCAGCTTCAGAGCCCACCAGGAGGAAATATCTAGACACCTACCGAGCTTCCCTGTACTCCTTTGCTTTTCTACCTCTGCTGTAAACTCGAGAACTGCTTTGTATACTTGTACAATAGCATTATCAAACCCATCAGAGCTTGGCAGTTTCTCTGTGCGACAATGACGATCGAGTATAGTATAACGAGCGAGGGTTTCAGCAAGGAATTCGGATGATTCAAAAAACGCTTCTTTTTGATCCGCTACATCACACATTTCCAACCCCCATCACATAGACGGAATCGTCACCAACGGCGTCGTCACAGGGGTCGCACCAGACGGACACACGCACGCCTCGACCGACGTCACAGGCGGTTCTGTGCAATGGGCACTCTTAGTCCACGATACAGAGGAGGTAGGACTTGGAGACTCGTCATCCCGTCTCTCGGCCCTCACTAACACTGGAATAACGCCGCCAGTATCCAGCGTGAAGCGACGATGGCCTAGAACGCGCAGCAGGGAGGCGATTTCGCCGGAATGACTCGTTACGGAGACGAAGAGGCCGGCGCTCTTGCTGTTCGAGGCGCCGAAGATCGATTCGAGGGCGCCGCGGCTGCGGAGGTCCTGCGCGGCGTCTGTCTCGCCGGTTATGCCGTTCCAGAGCTCGTCGGTTTCTGGGAGACCGGAGGCGATGGGCCAGTCGGGGAAGAGGCTGTGGATGTAGGTGCGGGAGCTGCGCATGTTGCAGGTTTGGATGTTGATGTATTCGCGGAAGAGCTCGTGGATGAGAGGTTGGAAGGCGGCGCTGCCAGGGGGCAGGGTTAGGGTGCCGAAGGTGACGTTGGCGGTTTGGAGGGTGCGGGTGAGAGGGCTGACGAGGTAGCTATCGGGGGTGTGGATGTGCTGGGTGTCGATTAACTTCTGCCAGAAGTCGTGCACTCGTTGGGCTTGGGCGATTCCGACGTCTGTGAGGTGGGAGTCGCGCCATGAGGCTGTACCATTTCCGTTCACGAGGGACCAGTAGCACTATTGGGAGATATCAGTGTCATGCTACGGGGTAATCATGGGAGGGGACGAACATTCCACGCAGGCCAGCCGTAGAATTGGTCGGCTGCGTTGTGCCATCCCTGGCCATGACGGCCCAAGAATAAGACCTTGTAGTTGACATCGGAAGGGGATTCGTCGTTCAGGAGGACCACTTGATTATAGAACCGCTGCCATTGGGTGAGTGGGGTATCAGTGGGAGACTGTTCGTCCGCGTCGTATGTACGATTAATTAATCCGAAATTTGTGGTTGTCTAATTGATCATTAGCAATCACTCTCGCAATGACGACGCGGGCAATTACAAAGTCAAACGCAGCATCATCGGTTTCATCGTCGTCTTGGAGAAAGTACTCAGTCAACGAGGTATAGTCGTTATACGAAGACGCCGTGGTAGCAAGACCCAGTGCAACTGAAACAAGGGTTGAGGGTTTCATTGTGAAATCTTAAAGCTGCAGAAATCTTCGGCCGAACTCAAGGGAGATTGCTTATTTTTATGATACCGCCGAGGGCGTGTCTCGGCTTCCAGGAATGCGAGATGTGAAGAATGCCAGCTGTTTGGCCGGTCCCCTTCCCAAGTGACACAAGAGCTGTCGAGGAACCAGGGAACCATGGTAATTGTTTGCCAGGCTGAACATGGTCCAATAGAAGTATGCAACTGGACTTGTATCAAGTTCCGTTTGAAAGTCTGAGTTGAGCGACTCTTCAAGGCAATTCAATCGTGGAGGCCGCCTTTGCCTGAAACATAGGCAAATCAAACAATGTACAATGGAAAAAAGAAATAGAGAAGGGAGAAATAGCCTTGAAGAGAGTGACTGGACGATGCTTCCAATGCATCGCCCTTGCTGCCATATTATATGTATTACAGTAAGTAGTAGGTAGTAAATACGTGCCAATAAACAAGTGCCTCCATATGTATGTCAAAAAAAAAAAAAAATTCCAGCCGCTTCCAAATTCACATGCAGAAACAAAACACGAAGTCGAACCCCAAGATCAACCCAAAAAAAAAAAAGAAACGAATTGAAGACCATGGCGGACGCCAAAGAACGACACCAACACGAATGCTCTGAGAATCATGCAGCCAAAAAAGCACGGGATATTAAACGAAGGCCTATGGATATCAACAAATAATGCCAGCACGGCTTGAGCATATCAAATAATAGTATCACAGGAGAATATTAATGAGAGATAGTGGTGTATGTATTGGTCGCATTTATACCCGTCGACCTGAGAATTAAAATTTCCCAATAAATTCTTTTTTGTTTCGATTTTCTTCTTGGTTTTAAAAATCATTCGGCGTTTGGTTCGTGAACGTGTACGCCTTGGGTTTCTGAGGAAGCTGCTGGGCGACGAATCGGTGAGCCTTCTGCTGTTCCGGGAATTCATGGATGTAGAATTCGGTGGGCTTCGCATCACCAGCCAACGACGCAGTCAACGTCGGCATGTCGGCATCGGTGGTCGGATACATCAAAGTAGGAGAGCCCGACATGCTGTCGACGGAGTGCTCATACGACATGGATGGGATGTCTCCATGCTGTGGAATTGACAAGCGGCTCTGGAAAGCGGCTTCTGGGGAGGGCATTGAGGTGGCGTCAGTCCAGCTTCGCCCCGTCAACACAGCCCCATCACAAGTAGCAGCGTAGTCGGGAAATGACGTGTAGTGAGCAGGAGCAGACATGGGCGGTGCCACGCCTTGGTAAGGGTAGGAGGACATGATGTCCACGGCTAAGGGTGTAGCCGGAGGTGACGCAATGTTGGTCTGCATGGGCTGCGTGGTCGGGAACAGCTGGCTGGTGGGTTGGGCTGACAGGCAATATCCGGCATCACTAGGAGTGGTCGGCAGCAAATGGTGGAAGTCCTCCGGTGTAAGGGGGGTCGGCGGTGCTAGCGCGCCTGTCGTCACGGCAGGCTGCAGCATGGACGACATCTCGGCCTTGGAGGAAGCCAGTGCCCCAGCCTCGGCGAACGTGGAGAGATTGAGGGGCGAACGCTGAGCTGCAGACGCCTTTCTGACTCCGGCATACCGAGAGTTCAGACACTGGGCAGATTTGGACTGTCTCACACCATGGCCAGAGCCGTAGCTCGGAAGCCTTGACGTGGTTGGAGACATGGAAGTCGAACCAGCCAGCATTGACGAAGACCGCGACGTACCAATGGCGGCAGGCCTCGGTCGCTTCCTCCGGGCAGCGAGATCGAGTTCTTTGCCAGCATCCTTCCACGAAGGATCTGCCCGGTTTGCGAGCTGCGACAGACCATGTGTCCCGTGGATTCCGATGCCTTCTAGCGTGTCGGCAAGTTCGTCGGACGACTCTCGCCTAGACAAGGACAGTTCCGGCTGCATGTGGTATTGGGTGGTATGGTAAGGAGCTTCGGCATCACTCGTGGAGTGGTAGCCAGAAAGCGATTTCGTCGACATCTGGCCAGCCCACTCCTCACCCTCCGAAGGGTGGAATTGGATGTTCTGCATGACATCGTCATGGGATACATCGTGGTGTTGCGAGCCGTCCAAGCTCGGCACAGTCAACGACTCGGCGGTGGAAGTCAGAGGCGTGGCGTTCAAGCTGGCATACCCAAGGGTTCCCTGCGAGCTGTGGGACGAGGTCCACGACATGGCAGAATCCTTGGCGTGGTCCCATTCGGACAAAGCCGAGCTAAGCGCGCTCTGGTGGTCACGGTGATTGGCATCTTGACTACCGTTCACCGAAAAGGCCGCGTTCGGGGAGACGGATCCTTCGGCACTTGTAGCGCCGGGCTGGACCTCCTCTTCTTCCGAGCCGTATCGCTCACGAGCCGCGACAGCAGCATTCAGGGCCCTTTGCAAGGAAGCAAAAGTAGCCTCGCGAGCGGCCTCGCTCTTGGTTTTCTGGTGCTTCGACCGTGAAGAACCCGACGTCTTTGTGCGACCTTGGGACGTCGTTCCGTCTGCGGGTTTAGGGGTATCTTTGTGGGAGCCCTCCTGAGAAGCCTTGGCATCTTGGTTCGACTCAGAATCAACCGCGTTCTCCGACTTCCCTCGGGCAGCCTCCTCGGCTTCCGCTTTGGCCTTCTGCATCCTTTCAAATTCCTCCTGTCTCTTCTGTTGCTTTGCCTTTGCTCGTCGGTTCTGGAACCAATTCTATAACCACACCGTTAGTTTCCTTGAACAGACTATAGAATCAAGTGTTTATAGAAGCACTCACAGCAACGCGAGGGAGACTGAGGTTGGTTTGAGCAGCCAATTGGCGCTTGACGTTGCTACTCGGCTTGGGGTGTGCCTGGAATTGAGCTTCCAGGGTCTCGACTTGCTCCTTGGTTAACCGCGGTCGCGAAAGGTTCTCTGCGTATTCTTCATAATCCATAATCGGTTGGTGATAGAAGTCAACCATGTCGAAAGGCGGGTGTGGGTAGATGTAGCCGTCCATCGGGTGCATCATGGACGGGTGTGCCATTGCCGGATCAAAGGCGATCGGCTGGTCGATTGGGACATGGCTGGCATATGGATAAGGATGATGAATGTAATTCATGACTGCGATAGAAGGGAGGAGAGGAGGGAGAAGGAGGGAGAAGGTCGGTGAGGCTGAGAGGTTCGATGGGTTGCTCGGCGGGCGGCAACTGGGACGAGAGGACGAATCTAGATCATTGAACAGATTGGACCACGGATGGAAAATGAAAGATAAATAGCGGCTGGAGAATTGAACAGTGGAGGGTAGATTGGCAGTTTAAAGGATAAGAAAATTAAGGATTGGGTGATGAGAGAATGACTGGTACACTGAGGTCGGTTGGTGGGTATACAACAACAACCACAGCAGTTCTGGATTTAAGGAAACAGACGAGAGGATCAATGAGGGTATAAGTTCCAAAGACAGGTACTAATAGGCAGATCACAGGTACTGCGAAATAAAATCAAATAAATAAAAAGCGCATAAAATAAGGAACGACTAAGCTGACTGAGAAAAGGAACGTAGGTAATAAAATCACAGAAAAAATGAGATGAAATAAAAAAAAAGAGGGGACAAAAGAGGAAAAGGAGAGGAAGAGAAAGAGAGAGAGAAAGAGAGAGAGTCGAAGCAAGAAAGAGTGAAATGGACGAAAAGGAAAAAAAAATAATAATAATAAAATAATAGGAAAGAGGAAAATCAAAAATCAAAAATCAAAAATCGAGAAAAGAAAAAAGAAAAAGAAAAAAGAGAAGAAAAGGGAAAGGATTGACAGCAAAAAGAGAGTTGAGGAATTGGATTTGGGGATTGGCGGCGGCTGCCTGGGAAAAAAAAGGTGTGGAGGGGACCGCGCTGATTGGAAGATCGCCATCCGGAACTGGGAGGATCCAACAGGCGGCGTCGGTATCACGCTGGTAACCCTGGTATTTCTTTTTTACAGCTGTTCGGGACAATCGGGCTTCATCCTCGTATTGTCTCTTATCGTCTCTTCCAGTTGGTCGCCCCTACGGTGTTCTGCGAGTCTGCGACATGGCACTGGACGTGGGATCATGTCTGTTAAATGCGGATCTACAGCCCTCCTGCTGGAGAGCTACCCCGGGGAAGCAATTCCATGGTTACTCGATGCTGGTGTTTTAATTAAAGCACTGGGTGTGCGGTACAGAGCTCCGTCCTCGGGACCCAGGACTTGGGTGGCCATACTAGAGGTAAAGGTACCTGGGTACCGGTACCTCGCGCCCGGGAATTGTCACGAACCGTATCAGGTACGGTATCAGACAGAGGCACCGACCAGCCAAAATATTGGCCGAACAGAGTGGGCTTGCGGTGCTTCCGCCCGCGCGGTTCTAGGGGGTGGCGGCCCAGCCCAGGCTCTTACATACTAAGGGAACTTAGGTGTAGCAACCCGGGCTTAAAATAACTAAATTTATGACGGAGCAGTCACTGCCGGCGGTAACATTTGTAATCGTTTGGCAATAGCATCATAGTACGGTGTACGGTGTACGAGTGAGCCCACCGTCTCCGTCAACCTCCTCGGGATAATGATGCGATGATGGAACTCAGACAAGTCAAGACGACGGAATGTACGCGGATCAGTTCCCAGTGGCAACCGTGGCGGTCACTGTGCGACTCGGAGGGGTAAGGGTGTGCTGTACGACGGGTCCATGATGCATCCTGTGCCTCGGGGGGGTGTTGTCAATTGCTTTTTCCTTGATATCACTGGGAACATCAAGGCAGGTGTGAAGACCCAGGCTTTGGCAGATTCTTTCGTTCTCCTGTCCTTCTTTTTCTTGATTCCCCTTGTTGTGATGAGATCTTTCAAATCCATCTGATATCTACTGTACCTAGTTACGGAGCACTAACTACCCGGTACCTACTCAATCCTGAGTACCGACAGCCCACCTCCTTCGTACCAGCTTACATATCCACTTGTAATTACAAGAGTAGCTTAGTTGGGTACTTGAAGACGGGGACTTGGGACGTACTCCAGTGGTTATCCGACATTCCCGCGCCGCAGTGCCACG